AGGGTGCTAAAATATTGAGCCTATTGGAAAACCGGGGGGGGCCAGTGTAACGGACCCAGTTCCAATGCTTCTTCGATCGTATCTGCACCGGAAAGAATTTGAAAATTTTGTATATTTTTCATCGCAGATTTTCATGTGTCCCAAATCTAGGTAATCTTGCATAACTTGTTTGTAGGGGAAGTCTAGTCTCTCGTCTCTTAAGAGCTTTTTCTTTAATTGTATAAGTCTTGCTGCAGGTCTCTGTCTCTTGATATTCCCAGAGTTTGTTCTCTGCCATTGAACGGTATTCTCACAGTGTAAGTCTCTGGTTGTGTTTAGAGCATGTTTTGTTCCTCACAGATCTGCTCATCTTTGGTCATTTGTCTTGGTTGGGAGATTTCTTCTATTTCCCAGTAATTTGGTTAGCTGTAGATCTTCTTGAATGCCGGTTGTCACAGTTAGAACCTGGAGTTTTTTTATCTTTGTTAACTCCAGTGTTTCCAGAAAATATCCATCGGACTTCGGTGTTCTGTCCCAGTATGTCATCATTCGTTTTCCTGACTCTTTCAAGTAAAATCTAAGCGTATTCTTTGGCGCCCAAAATAATGTCGATCGGACCAGGCTTCAGAAATGTAGGATCCGTCACAAGATCATTGTTCCATTGAAATATATTAACATCTAATGGCTTTCCAGGTACCTAATGTCTGTGTGAGTTTAGGCAGGACAAGGAACACGATGTGCAACGAGAAGTTGCTTAGAAATCTTGGGTGAATTGTTTTTTCTATCTGGCATTTTGCTGTCTGGGGGTCTCTTGCACCAAGACCTGATATCTCGACTCTGATCTTTTTTCTGGGTAGTGCAAGGAGGCATGCAGCTTCCACTGTGATAACAGATTATTGGTACCCGGAATCTACTAGGACCGTAAATTCTCGTAGTCTCCTTATGAACGCTGTAGCTAACAATACCATTTCATCATCTTTTCTGCTAGCGTGGTTTGTAGTTTGCTCTTTGTTTCGGCTTTCACGATGATAAGAATGATTATCTCCTGGTGATCTTTTTGGTTTATTTTTATTTTGAAGGAAGTTTACGTGAACATGATAGGTATGGTGAGCTTTATTGCAGATTCGGCATCGACCGGTGGAGGTGCATGTTATATTGTCATCAGGATTGAGACAATTAATACACAGTTTTTTTTCCTTAACTGTGCTCAAGCGTGGAGAGAGGGCAGATAAGCCTTCAAACTTGGTACAATTATATTATTGTATGTGATGACTGGAAAAATCTTCGGAGAATCTGAGATGGCTTCTAGTGATTGAAATCTTGCCTGTAGAAATCTTTTTATTTCGACATTATCTTGTTATTTATGGGTAGAGATGGCCCTGAGAATTTACCGAGAATATTCTTTGGCCCTAAATTTTCGAGAATTTATGTTTTTTTTAGGTTCAAGAATTTATGAGAGAATTTCATACATCTATCAAAACTGGTATTCCAACAATAAACTGACATGTTTTGATTGTTGATTTGAACCAATCAAATTGGAATTACGCGATAATTTGCACTAGTGCAAATAATCAGATAATGCATAGTAACTGCCGTAACTGGTGCGAAAACTGGTGTTTGACATTTTTTGACAAAAAATTTAAATTTTTGATTTATGAAATTCTCTCATTAAATACAACTCGTGCAATGGAAATATATTTATAATTTTCGACAAATTTGCACTCATGCGTTTATAACTGAAAAAGGCACTCGTGCACTACGTGCACTCGTGCTCTTTTTCAACTAAAAATGCATTCAGGCAAATTTCCCAAAAATTATCAATAATTTCCATTGCACTTGTTATATTACTATTGAATATACGGTAATTTTTGAAAATTTATGGAAAGTTACCTGTAATTTTTAAACTTATCATCTTGCACTTATACTATTAACAGATAGCGCTAGGTTGATAGTGAGGTGTTTGAAATGGAGAAAAGTGAGTCCGGGCAAATGGTAAATCCCCCGATTTCATAGGAGTTTTCAGGGCCGTTTCTAGGGGGGGGGGGTTTTGGGGGTTCAAACCCCCCCCAAAAAATAATTAAATTCAAAAAATTTAACTTAAAAACAAACAACACTTATTAAAAACTTATTTTTTTTAAAAAAATTTATTACTAGTGTAACATTTTTTTTTTGCCACTTTGTCTAACCCCCCCCAAAATTTTGGTCTAGATACGGCCCTGGGAGTTTTTGATTGGTAGATTAGATTTAATGCGCACTGGTGCTACTGAGTACTGAGTGTATTTCCAGCTCTTCCTCTCAGCCTGTTAAAGAAACAGATAGGAACACATTTTCTTCGCACTATTCCTACCAACCGGAAACGCCACAAGTTATTTCATTATCCCCGCAATGTGCAGAGTGTGTGCGAATAAATATTTAACTTATTTGAGGCCGGTTTATTCACCTTCCGATAAACTGTCAACTGTCAGGTATGCAATCTGATGAATATAATTCTGATGGATAGAAACGCAATCTGTAATCCATTGGTCGGCCAGTTATCCGCCGACTAATAGAATTAAAGAACGGTCAATTTAAATCGCAGATAGTACCAGCAAGTTTATCAAAAGATGAATAAACCAGGCCTTAATATTAGTTTTGACTAGTTTTGAGGAAATTCCTTCGAAAATGAAAACTAGAGGTTTGATGTGGGAATATTTCAGACAAAAAAAGGACAAGAAATTTCAATGTAAATATTGTGATTTTGTGTAACAAAAAAATGCAACTAGACAATAAAATATATCTCAAAATGTTTAAATAAATTCTCGAGAATTTGCCATATCTATGCAGGGCTCTTTTAATGATTGTTTGTATAGTTTGTATAGTTTGTTTGTTTCGGAATCCCATTTCCGAGCTACTTTTTTTTTTTTTTTACGGATATGCGCACTCGCAAGGAAATGTCCTATCACGCTCGAGAAGCGGCAAGTGCGCGGAAATGTCGGTGTATGTTGGTCTTGAAACGGTTCAGGTTGTAACCTGCAGGGAAAACCGTCGCAGGGAGTTTATTCCACAGCGATGCTGTTCTCCAGAGATATGAATTCTGATATAATGAGGTTCTTGGTGCCTCTAGTTTGACAGTAAATTCATGGTTACCGTCTGTTTGACGGGTTCGCCTGGTAGGTGCTACTCTCGGTGGAATCATACGTGCCAACTCTTCAGAGTATTTTCCGTGATAGTACCTGTAGAAGAGAGATAAATCGCCCACAGATCTGCGATGTTCGAGACCATCCAAGTTACGAGTAAGTGCGGGGTCATTGATCAGCTTGATAGCTCGTTTTTGCACGGTATTCAAAAGCATTAAGGTATGTTTGGGTGCTGCACTCCATATATGTGAGCAGTACTCCATAGTTGGTCGAATCTATGCCGCTTATGACGCTGTGTCAATCTTGATATTTTCCAGAGCTTCCAAACATTCCATGATGGTGTCATGTAGCTGTGTTTTATTTTTTATGTTGATTCCTGCTGAATCGCAGGAATATCCAAGATTCTGTCTATGAATTTTGAGATGATAAGTCTTTCGTTGCTGTAACGATCGCTCAAGATTTGTCATGCTGTCTGATAGTTAATGTCTGAAATTTGGAGATGCTGTATGAGTCTGCTGGCTTCTCCTCGAATATGGGTTTTGAGGTACTGGACTTTCTAAATCTGCATCAGATTTTTATTTTCATGGACCACCTTCCTGAAAATGTCTCAGTTATCCATTCTTCATATACTGACCATCGAAAAACGGTAGGTAACTTTATCTGAGGAAGACTGATATTGCATAATTTTGGTGCTTGAATCGGAATATCTTGGCCGGATTTTGGATTCCAATGATTCCAGAACATCTTCATATTTGAGCTCGATTTCTTCATAGGGATTCTTAAGTGTATTGAGAAAAATTAGGTAATTAAATGGATAACTGAAAAGAACCACTCCCAGCACAGGTATAGTTGGGCACCGCGCAGGCTTGAGAGAATCCTAATCAGTCGGGATGCTGTAACCAGACTGGGCACTTGCTACAGCAGGGAGGAAATGTATAACCAGACAAAGCACTTGCTATACAAAGAGGCTGGTTTTAGTAAGAACACCGCACTAGCACTGCACTAAAATCCCATTCCGAACTTAACATTTGTTGTCGAATACTTGATAGGGTGCGTAGTAATACCCACAGTCAACTGCTTACCAGAGAGTGTTACTACCTTAGAGCAGGTAAAGCGCTGTCCTACGGACATAAGGAGTAGGAACGCGCCATTCTGCTTATGAAACTAAAGTGAAGTCAAGTTTTTGGCAGGTGTTTGGCACCAAAATACAGGTAAAGCATTGAATTGCCATAACCGCCATTTTTTGTGAGCCAAAATACCTGGAAAAAAACGGCTTAAGTTTCCAAATCCAGGTTACTACTCCTTTACCTTTACCTGCTCTAAGGTTACTACGCACCCTATCAAGTATTTGACAACAAGGAAGAATTAGGAGCTCAGAGTGTAATCAGTCATTCTCTGCCGCCTTTTCTTGTTACAATAATTCTCTTATCAAGGGAACGATTGTACAAGTATGTTAGTATGTATGAGTTTTTAGACTAAAATCGAGTCTATAGCAATACCTGTGGCAATACTGACAGTCTTTTGCTGTGGTATTGGTTTGGCTCTGGAATGAGATAGATTTCTTTTTATCACACTGAATATCCATGTAAATGCTTTTAACTTTAGTCAATAAGCTACAGGCAATTAACACACGCCAATTGTACGATTTTGACTAAAAATTCTTTCATTGCTTGATAAATCCGAAAGGTTTCTGTTCTCAAAGTTACAAATCAACATGCAAAAAACCGTGATTATGTTAGATTAAATTTTTGTAGCAAAAAGAGACATTTCATCCACTGGATAGCTTAAAACTAGGATCTCAATGTGTATTCCTTATAACACTTCTTAACCAAAACTTTTCTTCCAAGAAACCCAATTTACCATCCCCAACTTTCTTTCACTGTGCATAATTTAGTTATTTTTTAGCAATTGAGGTAGATGGATTTGCCAAAAGAATAATATACGAAAGGCAATTTTCAGCAGAAACTACACAAAAGTACTCATTAACCTCGATTCACTGGACAAAATTCGTCTCGGATGTGAGAGGTCTTTATTCAAAAATTAGAGACGCCACCAAGTAAGTATTTGCATATTCAAAATTAACATGCCCACCAAGCAATTGAAATTAGGATTTTAATTTTATTTTTTTGTATTCAAATTTATTGTAGTCCTAAAATAACTATTGATAACGGCACTCCTAAGCCAGAAGACATAAAAATCGTCCCTGTTTCCGGAGATAAACCAATAGAAAAAGACAACAAGGCAGCTGAAGAGAAAAATACTTTAGAAGTTAACTGTTCTAATTATAGGAAACACAGGAGCGCTGAACGTAGCAGGGAGCACAGATCCAGCAGAGAGCAAAGAAAACATAGATCGAAAGACGAAACAGATGCTTCTAGACACCATAAAACTGACAGAGAGCATAAAGAAGAAAAGACTGAGCAGTTTACTGAAGTGACTGAACACGAACCACAGCCAGGTACAAGCAAACAAGATCTGGAAGCCACAAGTTTTGAAACAAAATGTGACATGAGCCATAAGCATAAAGGTAATAATGTTTTTAATTAAAAAAATTTGTTGCTAAAATACGGATTATTTGTAATTAGAAAAACACAAACACAAAAGGTATGAGGATAAGGAAAAAATAGCCAAAGAAGAATCTCGAGAATGCAGCTCTGTCGCTCACAAGTCAACAGAAAAACTCAGAAAAAGCAGCAGGACTTCCAGTAAAGAGAAAAAATTGGTTAGAGCCACGGCCACCTGTGATGAACCTACTGAAGCTGAAATAGGTCAAGGTAATAATTTACTTCATTGTAATTCAATTAGGTTCTATTGTACAATTTGTTTTAGGCAATAACGTTCAACCAGGAGTTGCTGAAGAAGAACTAAAAGTACCAGATCAAAATGGGCCAAATTCAGAAAAAGCTGCAGATGAAATTATTTCTCCTACAGAATCCAATGGATGCATTTTAGATAGAAACCTATTGAAAAATGTTAAACCGCCTAATATTTTGGTTTATGCTGATAGCATGGCAACTAAAGATAATGTCAAAGATGTTTTGGGGACTATTTTAAATAGAGAAAAGTTAGTGGACATTTATGGATACAATTTCTTTCTACTTTCTTTTCTAATTTTTGTCAAAATTTTATCATTTATTTTGTTGTATATAATTTTTTGTCCTTCTGTCCCTTTTTCTGTCAATTTGTTCGACTTGATAGCTAGCCTAACTTGAGAAAATTAACAATTTTTACTAGTTGTCATTATATTGATTTACTTAATTTTATTCCAGATATACAATCTACGATCTTCCAACTACGGGCCCTCTAACCTGGCGCGAATCTACAGCCTTAGTGGTAGTTTGCGGCAACATGGACCCAAAACTCACAACCAACTTATTGAATTATTTGCTAAGCGGAGGTCAATTACTGTGCTTGTGCAGTGACTTATTATACAGCGTTTTGCATACATTCACGACTGCAGAAGTCAGGGAGCACGAATTAGTCCGTTTCAGTTACGGCAAGTGGCGCAACGTCAAAATGATGCATCACATATTTTGCTATCAGGCTTCGCCTGCCAAAAAACAATTTTCTAAGGATTCTGATAATGCTTCGAATCATAGTAGTGGCAATGGGTCTAGCCCTATAGCTCCTAGGACGCCATCTACAGTTGAGATTCAACACGGCGGGAAAGAGTATACAGTGCAAGTGCAAGTTTTAGGTGCTGAGGAAACGTGGCAGACACCAAGTTTGTTGTTGGCTAGTGTTAAAGGGTCACAAGGGAGGGCAGTATTTTCGCAGGTAGGTAAGAATTATAGTGATTAGCACTCAATTCACTTCCAAGATAAATTTTTTAACTTGGCCCAACAATAATTCTCATTATTTTTGCTTTAACAGATTGATTTTCCCCTTGTACACAAATTTCTTTAGAGACTGGTAAATTCAGTTACTCTGTCCCGATGCTCATCAATTATTTTGACACCGTTAGATGAAAATATATATAGCCTTTGTTGTAGAAATGATTTTTGGGGCGGGCAATAAACTTGCTATGGTGGCCATCATGATAAATATCGAGGCTCCTAATGATATTTGCAGTGGGCAAATGGAATTTTTCACGTTGATTTTCTTTTCCAGGTCCATTTAGAAATCGATCCACAAGAATACATAGATGACGAATACAAGTTTGAAGCTCTGAAAGACAGCAACAAAGCTCGTCTCGACATTCTCCAAGACATTCTCTCCAACCACTTGGAATTAGATTGCACCAACCCTAACGCAAATCCGGTCCTTACTCCTGCCTACTTTCTAGGCCGTCACGATCAAAAGCTAAACATGTTAAACGAAACTCATTGCATCAAAGATAACGAAATGACAGCAGGCGATATGCACATACTGTTCTGTGGCAAAGACGACAGATACGACGATCCTAGTCGCACGTTTTTGCCTATCCTAATTCACACCTGTCCGCAAAATTTTAACACCGTCAGCTACTTTGAAACATTGGACACCAAGTATATTGGACGGCTAGTGGTTTACAGTGACGTGTTGACTTCTTCTCAAGCTCTGTTGCAGCATAATCAGTTGACGCACGGCGTTGCTGTGGTGTGTAGGCAACAGCTTGTGGGAGTAGGTAAGAATTTTCTAAAATATCAAGGTAGGTAATATTATGCAAATTTTTTTTAAACTCATTTAGGGAGGTCAAAAAACAAATGGATAAGTCCACCAGGCAGTGCCCCGTTCACCCTACAACTTCACATCTCGACTATTACAAATTTAGGAAAATCTCAGGGTTTGGTGCAACATTTAATTATGGTGGCCGCTGTAAAAGCTGTAAGGAGACTGACTGGTAATAATAAGGTGAGAAAAATAGGCATTTTTGAAATAATCCATATTTCACATGCTAGAATTCACATAAATATCAAATAACTTGCAGTCATTTCTATAAAAAATAGTCCAAAAGCTTCCCAAGAGAAATGTATCAAATAAGTTATTTGAGAATCCTCGGAGAACAACGCTATCGAACCAGTGTGTATTCTCTATGTGGATGGAAAGAATAAAAATAATTTCGTCATGCACTAGATTGCATCTGCATCTACGGTCAGTTCCTTTAGACCAGTAGTTCCCAAACTGGGGAGCGCCCCTCTTGCGGGGCGTGAAGCAGCATTAAGAGGTGTAAGTGGTCTAAAAAATTAATACAAATTTTGAGATTTAAAATAAAAAATTAGTTGAAGTTTAAAAAAAAGATGTTTACAATCCGGCAACAGCGCATACCTTAGCTAAAGCAGCTTTGCAATGCGATCATTGCTACAGCGTACGCTCGCTGCCCACTGTCATACCCATTCCTCCTTTCCCAAAGTCCAGTTCAGACGAGTTACAGTGGGTAAAAAAAAAATTCTAAGTGTTAAAGGAAGGGGGCGCGACCACTTCTTGATTTCAGAAAGGGGGCGCAAAAAAAAAAAGTTTGGGAACCACTGCTTTAGACAATCAGATAAACCTCCGCAAATGATACCCTGATTTTTGAATAATCTTGTTCTCTGCAGGGGACACTTTAATAAACTTTTTTACAAATTAAGGTAACTCGCTGTCGTGAACTATTTTTTCAACGCTTTTAAATTACATAAATAGAAGCGTATTTGTTTTTGGATCATTTTTGATTTCCGTTTTCTGGAAGAAGGGCTGTGAGTTTTCTGATATTATGTGGTTTATCTCTGTCTGTAACATTCAATATCCTTTTCCTAATGTCTTGAATATTTTATTTAGAATATCAAACTAGGAATAAAATGGCCTAATGACTTATACATAGATGGATGCGTTAAAGTTGGTGGGGCAATAGTTACTGGAACAACTTTAGGTGAATTGTCTTCACTTAATATTGGTAAGCCAACTTGCTTGTTTAAACTGCTCACAAGGATGAATGGATGAATTCATCCAAAAACAAAGTGGAATGTTAATAAAGCTAACTGGAATGGTTACTATACTTATATAGATCAATTGATGTTAAATACCCCTAACTTTGTCGATAATATTGAAAAATATGATTTTCTCACTGAATGTATTAACACTGCTGCTGACCTATTTATACCTAAATTTAAACCATTTTTAATTAAAAATAAATTACCAGCTCCATGGTGGGACACACAAGATTGTGACACTATGTTGCTTAGACGAAAGGAAGCCCCAAAATTATATAAACAAAACCCAAGTATGGAAAATTATTTAAACTGCCAAAAAGTGCAAGCTGAAACTAAAAAGTTTTTTAAGTCTAAAGCTAGAGCCAGCTGGTGTAATTGGTGTTCCAATTTAAATAAAAATACTCCCTCCACCAAAATATGGTCGCAAGCACGTAAAATGAACAGAGTAACTGCATACAAAAAACCAGAAAAAGATGACTGGTTAAATGAATTTTATGACAACATAACACCTCCCTCTGTCCTACCCAAACCCCCTAACATTACTTTCTCTATAGATCACAATCATTTCCTATGTAGACCTTTCTTAATTTCTGAATTAAACAATGCCATTATAGTTATTAATGATACAAGTTCGATATGAACGCCATAATGAAACGCGTGTAACGTTAAACCACGAGGCGTCAGCCGAGTGGTTTAGTTACACAAGTTTCATTAATAAAGTTCATATCGAACGTGTATCATTCAAAATTTAATCTACAATGGTCCAAATAGATTTGATTTGCCTTGAAATAGCAAAAACTTTTCAAATTAAAATTTGAAATTTAGCAGGTGCCCGTACTAGTCGAGAACCTGCTTGTTGGTTTTTAGAATTTTGACTTTGGCAGCTTCAATATTGAAGTCCATTTTTGTGCCATAAATTCAATTTTATAGTGGAAAATAATATTATTATTAGTGAATCTGAGTTCGACAGTGTCTCTTCGAATATAGAGACAGCATTATTGAAAAGGTTCTTCTGGCAACTAACTTTCTTTTTGTATATTTTTCATTTCAAAATTTGGGTGTTATTATGAATTCTTAAACGCACTAGTGCTATTATGAAGGACCTAATGACATTCAAATGACAATGCTAAGCGTGTCGTAATGACACCGACATAGATTAAATCAACTAATAACACTGCCCCTGGGTATGATGATATTAAATATTGCATGCTGCAAAATTTACCTTTAAAGGCCCAGGAAATGTTGTTGGACCTTTTCAATGAAATATTCATTCATGGTATCACAATAAAAGAATTCAAAAAAGTTTTAGTTGTGCCTATCCAAAAACCTAATAAGGATCCAAATGATGCAAAATCATATAGACCAATTTCATTGTTATCTTGCGTTTTGAAAACACTTGAAAGACTTATAAAATCTAGATTGGAATTTTGGCTTTTTAATCAAAACTTACTTCCGTCTAATCAGTTTGGTTTTAGAAAGGGTTATGGCACAATATATGCTGTCACGTATATTTTTACAGACATACAAAACTCGTATTCAAAAAATGAATATTTCGCATCGCTGTTCCTTGATATAACAAGTGCCTATGATTCGGTGAATCTCGATATTTTAGAACAAAAACTAATACAATATTTTCGTATACCAAACAATATTGCATTTTCCATCGTAAATATATATCGAGATCGACGTGTTTACTTAAGAAATAATTCTAATGATAGGTTAGGTCCGAAACATGCCTTTTGTGGTTTACCACACTGGTCAGTCTTGAGCCCCCTTCTTTTTAATTTATATACAGCTGACCTGCATAAAATAACAAATTTAAGTATCGTGCAATATGCTGATGACCTTTGCCTCTATACACAACATCTAAAATATAAGCAGTCAATACATTTATTAGAGGAAGGACTTTATAAAGTACTTAATTGGCTCGATGATAATGGTTTCGATCTCTCAGTAAATAAATCTAATTTCTGCCTTTTTACAAGACATAATACTCCGATAACACCCACCATAAATCTATGCAATCTGGATATTCCTTTCAAAACAGTAGTTAAATATTTGGGTCTTATGATAGATAAGAAACTCACTTGGAATCCACACATTGAATCAATAATTACTAGAAGTGAGAAAGGTTTAAATTTTCTTCGAAGTGTCTGTAAAACTTAGTGGGGCTGCGGCGTCAAAACATCCCTTATGTTTTATAGAGCATATGTTAGATCTATTATCGATTATGGATGCACCTTGTATGGATCAGCAGCAAAAACACATCTACAAAAAGTTGACAGAATACAATATAAAGCATTAAGATTATGCCTAGGAGCTATGAAGTCAACTCCAATTGAACCACTGTTGGCAGAGGCTACTGAATTACCACTGCCTTTAAGACGTGAGCTCCTTAGTGCCAAGTTCCTTTTAAAACACTTTCTTTTACAAACACCACTATTAGAAAATATATCGATATTAAATGTCTCAGACTTAACAAATACCTTTTGGCAGAAAAAAAAATCACCTCCGCTATGTCTAGCTTATAGAGATTATAATTCTCTCTTTAATAGTGTTAACACTCACTCAATTTTGGGTATAGAATATTTTAGTCTGGCCCAGAATGTAACTGTAAAGTTTCCTCAATATACAGAAATACCTACTATAAACATAAACATTTTGCGTGCTGAGCTTTCCCAGTATGAAAATGCTTTGCACATTTATACCGATGGATCTAAAAATAAGGATGGTGTTGGAGCCGCCTTTTATGCGTACAATAGGGAATATAGCGTAACAAAAAAATACAAAATAGACAGCGACATATCCATTTTTACTGCTGAAGCCATTGCTATACTAAAAGCAATTGAGCTCATATCTAATACTAAATATAACACAAACATAATCATATCGGATTCCAAATCAGTACTAACAGCTCTCTTATATTTACGTACATGGTCCTATAAAATCAATACAGTCCTACATGATATCAAAAAGCTCTGGTATCGATTACAGAAAAAAGGCAAACGAATTATCTTTATCTGGGCGAAAGCTCACATGGGCCTTTATGGTAACGAATTAGCCGATCACCTCGCCAAAGAAGCAGTTCACAATGGGGACATCGTCCATATCCAGCCCTGCGTATCGGAGGGTAGCAGAATGATCAAAAATAGTATAATCAACAAAAGAAAACGTAATTGGGAAACATTTGTTAGTAACAGTCAAACCAATTATGCTCTAATCCAACCAACTCTACTACCAAAACCTTGGTATGATGAGATGAATGTAGCTAGAAAATATATTACAACCATCAATAGACTTCGTTTTGGGCATGCGTGCTTTCCTGCACACCTTTTTAAAATTAAAATAAGCAATTCGGACCTATGTGACTTCTGTTATGTTCGTTCCGACTTAAATCATTTGTTTTTTCAATGCTTAAAATACACACAACAAAGAGAAAACTTTTTTCAAAACCTTTTCCAAGTTAAGAACATACAAAGCCCTTTTAACATTCTCAACTTGTTAGCTCAATCTGATACGCGTATTAATAATATCATTATGACCTTTGTACACGAGTCTAATCTGCTGTAAAATTTAAAATTATAAATCCAGAGATAGATTTTTAATAGTTAGTTTAGCTTCCCTTATGTGTCCTTTCCGTGGCCTATTTGTTTGTCAATACAAGTCGCCTTGACAGGTCCCTGGGCGTGAAGTGAGTGTCCCTGTCCTTATGTGTGGTTAGATTAGTTTAGTATTTATTTTTAATAATATATATCTCTTTAGTAACTGGCTGAATGACTGCTTAGTCAAGTCAAAAAAAAAAAAAAAAAAAAAAAAAAAAAAAAAAACTGCTCACATAATATATAACTGAAAAGATTTTCTATGATATCAATTCCAGAATTTTCTAATGGTTTCTTTAATTTTTTTCAGGTTGTGGTTTAAATCTATCCAATTCCAACCCCACCACCTGTATAAACGACGTCATCAGGGACGTCAATGCAAAAACCGGCAGCAACATTCCTGAAATTACCCACGAAAAATATTTTGCCCAAGTTTTTAATGAGACTGAAAAACTGATCAACCGATTTCAACTTGGAGACGTGGAATATTTCTACGAATATTATTACGATTGTTGGTTACATAAGTAAGGAGCTATAGCCTAAGAGCTGGTGACGGTTCTATTCAGTGTATTTTTGCAAAGACTAAAATGTGTTTTTTTTTAAAGATAAAAGTCAAAATGACATTATGTTGGCAATACAATGTAAAATTGTCAATGCTTTCAAACTTTTTATGTAGAAAAGGCTTATGTTGCCAACATAGTTACTAAATTTTTGACTTGGGGAATTATCTTTAAAAAAAAACAGACTTTATATTTTTTTCAGATGTTCACTTAAGTAGAGATGTGACCGAAGCCGAATAATTATTCGGTATTCGGCCTATTCGGCGTTAATCTCGCTATTCGGTATTCGGACGAATATTGGATTTTCACTACCGAATATTTCATGTTTGGATATTTTACTGAATTTTTCAACATAGGTATTTTTAATTAATATCAATTCGAAAAAAAAATGAAAATACAAACTTGCGTTAAGAAATTCAACTCAACAAAGAATATAATAAAAAAATATTAGCATAGTAGAACAATAAGGAGTAGAAAAATCAATATTGAAAATGAATAAGTGGTAGGTGTTGAAGAATCTTTATTAAATTTATGTTAGCGTGTAATTAATTATTAATTAACTTTGGTTTCACTAAAGTTGGCATCTTATCGTTGGTGACAATATTTTTCAATTTGAAGATTATTAATCGCGCGCATAGCATTCATTATTTTTGATAATATGCACAGGTTTGAATGGTAAAACTCACATACGTCACCAGCGCAAAAACCTGTACCTTTTCGGTACTACATACGGGTCCTAAAAATAGTAAAATCAGTATCATTGAACCCGTCCGACAACGCAGCAGAAAGTACCGTCGCGCGTGAAGGCATGTAAATTTTCTTGCCCTTGTACCTTTTGTTACTAACTTTAATTTGTGGTGACAAAACAACTTTCGTCTTTCGGATTTTCGAAATTACAAAAAGAAAACTTTACTAACTCAACTATTGTGCTGGGTGGATTGAGCAACCCAAAGGAAGTGTTCAGAGGGCCCTCTTATTCAAGAATCTAGTGTTACGCTTCAAGATAGGTGAGTGAGTTCTTATTAAAATCAAATTGTGTGCATATCGCGATCGATTTGATTACCCCAATTATTCAGTCCACTTATTATTTTCATATTTCCTGCACCGTAGGTTATGATGAAAGATCAAATGCTCCGCTCTAGGTTATCTAGGTAATAACCGATTCCTTCTATTCTCGTACAGGTTTCCAGCTTCTGAGAATTGTCGCTCACTGTAAACGGTACTTGTGAAGGAGCTTATAAATAGACCTTTCCAAGCTGGCTCATTTTTGGATATTTTAAACAGTATTTCTTGCACACCAAGATGGACAATGGTTTTTGTTTAAAACTTCACTCGATAAATAAGCCTCTAACTCAATTGCAATATCGTTTTTGCGATTGGAGTGATCAAAGCCCTTATTAGTCAAGGCTATTTCACTATAATATTTGAGCTCTGACATGCTTTAATAACTATTCGGTATTCGGCCGAATATTCGGTTTAAATTCAGCCGAATATCCGGTTATTCGTCCAAACTACTATTTGTCACATCACTACCACTGATAATTAAATGGGATGTCTGGCTACCCTTTTACGGCCAGTATTATAATGTTCGGTTGATCGAAGGTTCAGTATTAGCCTTAGGTGCGGTCAACCGGACATTATAATACCGGCCCTTAATCAGACAACGAAAAACCCACATCCCTATAGAATTCTCATTTCTTGGAAATGCGAGATTATAGGGAAGAATCAAGCACCAATGACTTCACATAGAGGGGCTTATATGTTATATGTACATGGTGTTTCATAACTATACCGACTGACTTTCAGGAGTAGGGAACATCCAAACAAACATTTTTTTGCTCTATAAACATATGCTTGAAACCGCTCCGTTTTTAAGATACAGGATGTTTAAATTTTGAAGAAAAAGTGTTTTTTTTTTTTAATAAGCTTAAGCCAATTCTAAATTCTAATTACATTTTCATAGTTTGTTGCTTATTAATAATAATAATAATAAATAGCTATATTTCAAATTATGTTCACATGGAGTTAAAGTGAAACGGAGTCAGAAAGCAAATGCTGCTTTAATTTTACAAATTACTACAAAAATCTTTCAAACTATTCAATTTTTCTCTTTCTAATTCCACCAAGTATTTCCTTAGGCGGTTTTTAGATATTCTTGATGCACTTATTGTCTTTAATTCTTGAGGCAAGGCGTTGAATAACTTCAAACTCATGTACTGGGGGAATCTTTCAGTCAGTTTAAGTTTATGTGTTGGGTACATAACTTCTAATGTTCGTGTTTCATATCTGCCTTGAGATTTTATTCCGAAACGCTCCCTGTTTTACACAAAGAATAATAAACGTTTATAATTATACATTGCATATACAGTCATTATTCCTAAGTTTTTAAATTCATCTCTACAACTTTCTATAGTATATTTCCGAATTAAATCGGAAAGTACCACTTTTCCGCAACCATAATATGTAATTTTCATCATAGAATATTTTCACATTTCTTACTGGTTTGAAGGTTCGAAATTGTCATTTTACTCTTGTCTACTTCAAAGCAGGCCAAAAGTGACAGTTCTCTTTCGGCCTGGAGAACTCACTTTCGGCCTGCTGAATTGTTTTTTCACACCCAAACACAAATCCAGGTGCAATGTTTGTATTAAGAAGTAGATGTCACATGTGTTTTTATTGTTGAAATTCTTAGAGCAGGTAAAGGTAAAGAGGAGTAGTAACATGGAATTGGAAAATGAAGCCTTTTTTTTCAGGTATATTGGCACCAAAAAAATGGCGGTATAGGCATTTCAATGCTTTACCTGTATTTTGGTGCCAAACACCTGCCAAAAACTTGGCTTCACTTTAGTTCCGGAAGCAGAATGGCGCATTCCTACTCCTTATGTCCGAGGGACAGCGCTTCACCTGCTCTAAATTGAAATTCTATAAGATGTCAATGTCGTTGTCAGAGTTTCAGTCGAAATTCCATTATTGTCATACTTTTACTCTATTTTTTTTCAAATAATGGTTATTCAAAATAAAATAGTACAAAGTCTGTTTTTTTCTTTTAAGATAAAAGTCAAAATGACATTATGTTGGCAATACAATGTAAAATTGTCAATCCTTTCAATTTTTTTATGTAGAAAAGCCTTGTGTTGCCAACATAGTTACTAAATTTGTAACTTGGGGAATTATCTTTAAAAAAAAAGCAGACTGTACCATCGTCACCAAAAAGTATCTGGGACACAAATAATGCATAATAATCTCCTGGACTAATTCTACTGTCATTCATTTCAATGCATTTGATTCATAGTTTGACAAATATTTGACAATAAAATTCATGTAATAGGACAAGAGCTAATGTGATGCTGTCGCAGTTACTTTTGGTGACGATGCTACATAAAGTTTGTTTTTATTTAAAGATAATTCCCCAAGTCAAAAATTTAGTAACTATGTTGACAACACAAGCCTTTTCTACATAGAAAATAAGAAAGCATTGACAATTTTCTATTGTATTGCCAACATAATGTCATTTTGACTTTTATCTTAAAAAAAAAACATACTTTAACTATGTTGGCAACACAAGCCTTTTCTACATAAAAAATTTCAAAGCATTGACAATTTTACATTGTATTGCCAACATAATGTCATTTTGACTTTTATCTTTTAAAAAAAAACAGACTTTATTTCGGTGGAAAGTTTTCACATATATTGTCTCGAGAATTGGTTGACCTCGGCTCGGCGCTTCGCACCTCAGTCAACCATAGTATCTCTTGACAATAATGAAACACTTTCCACCTCCGCATGTAATATACTATTTCTTTTCAACTACTCTTATTACTTGTTTTTGCGCGAAAATTACGCTTTGCGCTAAATGATGCCTCCCCCAAAAGATTATCCCATATTTCAACACTGATTCAAAATTCACCAGATATTCATGTTTTTTCATCAATGTATCTTCCTATGATTCGTATACCTACCATACGAAATTGAGTTTATGGTTAATCGATAAGTTATACGGAAACACTCCAAAAGTAAAAGAATATTGTTAATTATATATGACAATATATGTTTCAATGCTGGAACCACTATCTTTACAATAATTGTTAGCAGTTCATCTATCCCACTGCTATGCTCGTTCTTCAGTTTACTAGCAATTTCCAGAACTTCATTTGGTGTTACCGGTCTCAAAAAAATTGAACGGACATTGTTATTTATATTGCAAGAAAAGGGGACATCTCGTAAGCTATCCAGAAGTTCTGGAACAACTGATAACAAAAATTCATTATAACTATTTTCAGTATCTTCAGGACTTCCCTCGACTTTGATTCCTGACAAATTTGAATTTTTTCCCGATTTCTTTGCGAATTACCCACATACATTTAGTCTTATTATCCAACTTTCTTATGCGATTTTCATAGCTTTTTTTTATGTGATATCAATGCTCTATCATAGGATATTTTTTTTCTTCATTGTATAGTTGCTTAAAGTTTACATCAAATCTCGACAGCATTAATAGACTGTCTAGCCTGCGTTTACACTCTAATACTGTACTATAGTGAAATTATTAAAATAATGGTTGCAGGTCATCAATGACGTCGAAATTATTGCCAATTGGAGTTTGTAAAAAATTAAAATTCGTTTTAAGCTCAGAGCGCATTTTCTCTTTTTTAAGGTCTAGTTAAACAGAGATAGAATGCTGTCGGATCATGTAACCGAATCTGCCGATAAAATGAGATTTAGGTTGGCACTCGTGGGTAATGTTGCCAATAATATTTTGAGGCTTGTTGTCAGTTTCTAACGAGTCGGGGATTGATAGTTGGATATAATTTAATTTGCTATAAAACTGTATTAATGGAATTTCGTTGTTTGATATTATAATTAGTCCTATCAATTTATTGATAAAAATGTAACCTTGGAAAATGACAAACTTTATGGTATGTCAAAGTACAACGAAGTTGATGCGGCAACATTGCGACATGCTAACGTCATAAATTTTGATTCCCACATACATTATTTTATTAATTTCCCTATATAACATTTATATCACAGGTATTAATATAAAGGGTTCTATCACAATCTACCTTAGGTATACCACAGTCTATCTTTCTTTAAACAGGCCCAAAAAATTCCGCAAAGAACGGTATTGTACAATTTCCTAGGGCTCGTGTGTAGTTTTATCATTCAAACTCGTACAATTTGGCAAGTCATGATTACTATTTTTCACATTTACAATTTTCCAGAAAGTCCCACTATCATTGATAATACTGGATTGAACATCATTGACATAACTATCGTAACATTGTTTTATTAAAATTTTACATTGTCTCCTTTTTATTCACAAAGCTCCCCATATAATTGTGTGTTATGCGTTTTCTTCCACTGTATGTACCTTTTTCTTATTTAGAATAGTCGATTTCAGCTCATCACTATACCAATTAACCAGGAAAGCTCTTATTTTTAGATCTTTTTTCTGGAACATACATTTCAATACCTCTATAGAGAATAGAATAAAACTCTCAAACGGCTGTCAACATTTTCTTCATTAAAAATACTATCTCAGTCAAAGCATCCCAAGAAACTGTTCAGTTAGACATAATTTGCATGCTGAAAATCAAAATACTTATAATCAAAAGACATACTATCGCCATTGGCCACAGACATGTCTAGTTCAAATAATAAGGCTGGGTGAGACTTGACTTATCACATGGTAATAGTGGACCGATCATAGTTGATCTTGCTTGAAACTTCCTCAATTGATTGACTGTAAGCTCCATAGATCTCTACTGAAGATTGAGGAGGTTACTTGAGGTTACTCAACAATTTTTTTTTTACCTTGACAGACAGTATTGCAAACAGTTGTTCCAAATAATTAATAAAAGCATGTACTCGCATTGTGGAGTGCTGAAAAGGATTTATCCACTGCAATAAGAACTCCTCCTCCTCGTTTAAAAGTGCTAGTTTCAGCCGACCTATCACATCCAAACACAAAATAATCATCAAATCATATTCATCACTCAAAATATCGCCATAGGGCATAGAGCCAGGTATCTGAGAGCTTAACAAGACCATATTCATCCAGCAGCAATGCTTGGAAAAGTTCCTTGAGCTTTGTCCTTAACCCCAATGCGTTCTGGTAATAACATGTTGGTAAACGTGTCTCGTTCGGTTGGTTTGACGAAAATTTTTACGATTGGAGGCAAAAGAGGAGAAACCATTCAAATTTCGTGTCCTTTTGATTGATGCCCCGGATTATTGGGAAATACTTATGGCCTGACAGTTACATTGACTAGCCAATTGGAATCATGAATCAAATTTCTTTCGCATTCAGGTTTAATAGCAATTTAAAGGAAAATTTTAATTGATTTTTCCCTGAACCTTTTCTCATGAGAGTTCATCAACTGAACATTGTTTTAAATGATCAATCACACTTTGTTCAGATGTATCACTCTTTAAATTACTAATATAGAACCAAGTATTATCAAGTACATTCAACAGCTGTAGTCCCTTAAGATCATTATTAGTTCCCTTTATACTGGTTTTCTTATGTCTTGCAGTAGTAACATTACCCTTCGAAAATCCCAGACGTGAGCTCTTGTTGGCCTTAATATTGTTCGTATCTCCCCTATGGTGAGGCATCCTTTACTTATAGAATAAGTTATATCATTAGAATTGTTAGCTTCAACATCTACGGTATTGTTTACGGAATTAATTTCTTGCACAGATTGAACATGATCTATAGATAGCCTTGGATACCTGAGAAGCAGTGATAATTTTATTATTAGTTGATGGTCTACCTTGATTTGTACAGTCTGATTCCAGTAGAGATTTGCGATTGAGGTCTTTATCGTCTAGGCTGAGGTCCTTGAGAATTTTCATAAGTTTCTCATGTTGTACCCTGTCAAACGCTTTCTCATAGTCTATGAAGCATGCATATATAGGAACAGCAACATCCTACATCTTTGAACTAGCACTTGGATGCTAAACAGGGCCTCTCTTGTGCCAAAACCGTTACGAAAACCAAATTGGGATTCGCCCGTGAAGGACTCGCACTTTGCGTAAATTCTTTTATGGATGATCTTTAGAAAAATATTGAGAAAGTGGCTCATCAAGCTTATAAGGCGATAATCGCGACATCTTTTTGCAGAGCTTTTCTTCGGAAACGTCACAAATGTTGATTTAAGCCAGTCAGAGGGAATGACTCCCGATCGGTAAACCATTTTGAAGCTTCACTATTGTTTGTAGTGATTCCTCATTTTTTGGGATTTTAATAAGTTCTGAGTAGACACAGTCTGGACCTGTAGCTTTCCTGTTTTTAGATAACTGAATGGCGTGTTGGACTTCTTCCTTGGTTATATCTAGTCCTTCTCGTGAATGCTCTTCAGGAATGTCCAATCACTCGTCTTGGAACAGGTTTTCGATGTAGCTGCAACACGCTATTTTGCTTTGTCGTTGACATCAAGAATTATCTTATCTTGACTGTCCAACAGAACGCCGGTCTGTCGAGGTTTGTACACGCCAGCAGCTTTTTTTTTCTTAGGCATATCTGAACTGTCATATTTTGCTTCAAGGTCTTCTATTTCCTTACACACTTCATTTAGCCAATTGTCTTTGGCTACCCTGACTTTGTTTATTTACCGATCCAACTGACAATATGCTGGCTAGTCTTTTTGCCAGCGACCGGCCGGCGTCTTTCTTCTATCAAGTCGAGGATTTCATCAGTCATCCAAGCTTTTTTCCTGACTCTAGTGTTACTTGATGACAATTTCGAGCGGATGCTAACAAAGGCTTCCCTGACACTGGTCCATACAGTCTCGACTTGTCCAATTCGTTTCTAACTTCATCTAGAGTTGTTAAGTTGTTTAGTATTGTCAGATCCGGTCTTGGTATGTTCGTTTTAGCTGTACATCTTTTTAGTGTCAACTGGATAGTGGATGTTCGCTGCAAGCGGATGTTGATCCGAATTTATATCTGCACCGACTGCACCAGGGTGAGACTGCGCGGGATAATTTTTTCGATATTTTAATAATCTTCTAAGAAAAGCGCAACTAAACACAACTTCTGCTTCATTTGCAGATTTAACGTATCTTGAATCGTTTTCAAGGAAAACATTGAACTCATTGTCTCTAATCTTTGTTCTGACAAAAACAAAATAACAGACTTGACTGGGAGCATGCCCCTGGCATAATTACGATGTCAAATGTGGATCTACAAAATACCTAATAAAGTAAGCAACAAACTGAGAATTTCATTAAATATGGCTTATTTAGATAATAAAAAAGATCGATGATTTTCTCAAAACTTCAAAAGCCTGTATGTTGAAAGCGAAGCGATTTTGAACATTATCTTTATAAAGAAAAAAAATGTTTCTTTTGATGTTCTCCACCACCCCTGAATGTTTGTCGGAGTAGTGATGAATCGCCCTGTATATACAGGGTGTCCAGAATATTTTCTTTTTTGTCCTGTATATCCGTTACTCTTTCGATGACAGATTATTTGTAGTCACTTGATTGCGCAACTTTTTTCCATTTGCTTTCAGAAACGCCAGTATGCTCCGCCTCCGTTTCTAAAACAGGAGAGCAGACATTGATTCGCCAGTGTGCTCCGCCTCATTTGAATGTATGTGTTGTGTGATAATGGAACAAATTTCCAGTTTCTTGCGACAAGTTTCATGAAACTTATGTCTCCAGTGTGTCATCTGCCTAAGATATACTGATACTAACTTTTTGATCCACTTTAGAAAAACCGTCATCAGTTCTCAGTCTTATATTATTATTAATTCAAGTAGATATTTACTTAGTGCAGACTGCAGGGGTCAAGATTGGATATCAAACGTTTGTTTGCTATCCAGTTTATTTCGTTATTCTTTATCCTCAAAAATTCATTTAAATAGATAATTTTTTTTTAAAAATACTTAAAATCATTCTCTAGAAGGATGTACTTCAATAAATAGATTGTGAACGACTAACAATAAAGATAAAATGATCAAGATTAACTAAACAGCTACTAAACTGATAAATTGACAAATTCCAAATGATTCAATGTTGATTATTTTTAGGGATGCAGCTGTGACAATTACCACTGCGGAAGGTAAATTTGAAAGAGTCAAGATAGTGGGCATCGATGATCAAGGTTTTCTGAAAGTCAAAACGTCCAGAGGAACTTCGAAATCTGTGCAGCCCGATGGTAACTCGTTCGATATAATGAAGGGCCTTATTTCCATTAAGAATTTTTAATGATACCAATATTTTTGTACTTCCATTTCATGTTAACTGTTTTCTCGTTATCGTTGTGATACTTGTTTTTGAAAATTTATCTGTATGCACTTGTTATTCGATTAATTTTTTACAACTTTCGTTTTTAGTTTGTTTTTTAGTGTCATGCAGTTATGTCATTTTTGTATATTTAAATTTAATGTGTTGTGGCAATATCCAAAATATGCTATAGGTATTAGTAATAATGTATAAATATATCAATTATTTGTGTTTAATTATACAGGGTGAATTACACATTTTCTGAAAAGCATGTCCACGGAACAACATTCCAAATGTGTGTTGTGTTATAATAATAATGTCAGTGCTGTTTCATAAATAATTTGAAATTTCTAGAATACTTTATTCGCAAACGTTGTTGCATTTAGATTTCAAATAAAGCATGTGGTTTTGTAATTGACTTTTAATCTTGTTTCTTAATAAGAAAATGTTTAACTTCAACTAAATCTCAACATCGGAATTATTTTTAATCCATTCTTTGAATTCACTTATCCGTGTAAATACAGAAGGTTTGCTTGCTTCGCAGCTTTTGTAGCTGAATGAACTGATTCCTATTTGAGTACTTCCAGATACTAGAGGACCCCCACTGTCCCCTTTACAGATACTGGTTTGGCCTAAAATAAAATAGTTCACTTATTAATTACTAACAGAATGATCATTTAGTATTACCTTCTCCTGACAAACACAAATGGGTGTTTTTTATAATACCACTATAATCAGAATCGACACTTTTACACTCGCTATTACTATAAATATTGTTAGTAGCATATCTCAAAATATCGGTTACTGTATTTTGAGCATCTGTTGTTTTACCCCAACCAGTAATGACACCTGTACTACCAGCATAGCTGTCATTTCCCTTGGGTAAAGCGATAATTTGTACAGAGCTGTTTATTTTAGCGGGAGTAGAAAGCTTTATTAAGGCCAAATCGTTGATTAAAGCGGACGAGTCCCATTCAGGATGAACCTTATATGTTGTTGAGGTTTGATGTTGCTGTGTATTCTCAGATGTATCGGAGACGTTGTAAGCTCCAAGGATTATATCGATGGAGATTGCACTAAAAAAAAAAACTCATCTATATTTTATTTATTTAGAGTACACTGGCCAAATACAGACTTTCGCCGTAAAGTTTTACTTCTGGGTGACGAGAGTGGGAAAAATTGTAGTACGGTTTTGTACAACCAGCTTAGTGGGTTGGCTTTTGAAGTTTCAAGTCTCATCAAATCGAATGCACCATTGAAAGAAATTGCTAGGGACATATTTAACTCAACACGTGATTACAACCATAATGATGCGGTTGTTGTATTCTTACACATTAACGTAAATTCAATTCACAACACCTCACTGTTGAAGCAGTTTTTTACAATTGATCGATACACTAATTTAATAATGTGTTTTACATATTATAATGATTGTGTTTTTAATAGCCCCATGTACAGAAGAATATATGCTCATTTTGGTGACTTCACCACTAGAAATAATGTCTCAATTAGGGTGATAGATAACTTTAGGATAGGACGTGGTCACAGACACAATGGCTCTACTTTTGGCAAACTATTGGTTAACTACGTAACTAAGTCGTTACACTTCAATATATGGGTCGATTCTGTGCACATCTGTAAGCAAATCTATAAATTTCTATAAGCCTATAGCGGTCTATAGACAATTTGCAATTCAGCACTTCCTGTAGATTACAGAATATCTTATAGGATTGTAAATATTTCTGATGGGGTGTTTGGCAATCGATGCGTTTTGCAGTGTCTAGAGGCTTATAGAAATTTATAGATTTGCTTACAGATGTGCACAGAATTGATTCGATAGTTAATGTGTCTGTGGCCAGTGGGAATGTGATCTTGTCTGATAATGGGCAAATAAATCTTGAATCCCTACGTTGGTCGGATCCTCTGGAACAGGTGCAGAATGTAGATGGTGGTGTTCAGGTTAGTCGTATATTCCTTGACGCCTCTGGTAACAATGACGAAGGTATACTCAATTTATCACAGGTTCCTAGAGCGAAAAACGGGAAGGGGGAAAGTGGAGATAATCTGATCGCTGAGGATATATTCGCCACAACGGCTATCAATAAAAGTACTTTTTTAGGCTAGACGATCATAGCATATCCCTCCTATTATTAAATATACAATCAATTCGCAATAAAATTGATGAATTTTGGGTGTTTTTAGAGAACTGTAATTTTCCGGATTTTGTAGTAATAACGGAGCATTGGCTCAAAGATAGGGAACCTATCTCTATACCAGATTATAGTTTAGTATCAGTGTATTGTAGAAAGAACTCTATTCATGGGGGTACCTTAATTTTAATAAACAAAAACTTTTCTAAGAAATTTGAATTTGTGAATAGCCTAAGGTTTCAAGATTTGATTGTTGAGAAAGTGTTTGAATTGTCTGTTTGTAGGTGTAAAAAATTGAATATGTTTTTAGTTTCTGTATATCGTCCGCCCCAATGTAGTGGGAGTGTATTTTTGGAGAGGTTGGAGTTTCTTTTGTCGAATCTCTGTCCTCAATTTAGTGTTGTCTCGACGGGGGACTTGAACATTGACTATGACAGTGAAGATTCTTCATGTACTCTGGCATTGAAGCATTTGTCAAAATCATTTATACTTAAGATGCATGTTAATTCGCCAACTAGAATCACAAATGGTTCTGCTTCTGTTTTGGATTATGTTTGTATCAGTTTGGATGATGATGTCTTCTGTAATGTGGTGAGCGCAGGCCTCTCTGATCACGAGGCTGTGCTTTGTAGCATACCGGTCGCCGGAAAGCTCCGCGGTCGGAGGAGCGAGGTAGGATCTTTTCAGGGAGGAATTTTAATAAGTTTTACCAATGCTGCCTGACTGTGGACTGGTTGGGTACTTTTCGTACTGAGGATCCCTTGAGCAGGTTCCATGTCTTGTTGACTGATGTCTTTGAACGTTCATTTCCGGTTGTGAGGATTAGAAACAGAGGGCGGAAACCATGGATTACTGGGGGAATTAGAAGGTCTGGCAGGAATCTTCGGGCTTCACATTATATACGTAAATATTTTATGGACTGTGGGTTTTTTGTGTCATATTTTAATAGATATAGGTCACTTTATCGTAAAACATTGAAACTAGCCAAAAGAACTTATTTTGAAAATCGCATAGTCAATTCTCAGAATGGGCAAAGAGAGAGTTGGAAAATTGTTAATCAACTAAGAGGAAAGCACATGGGCGAAGTTAGGGGGTGGCTTGGGGGGTCTAAGCCCCCCCAAAAACCGATTTAGCCCCCCCAAAAATAATTCGCACTTCATCACACACACACATATTGGAAAATAGAAATTACAAAAAACCAAACATACTAACACCTATTTTCTATATATTTTTTTTCAATTATCATACTTTAACTAATCTAGACATGTGCATTTAAACATTTTCGGTTCAGTCTCAATGTTAATGCCTAATTTGAGCCAATTCTGAGAGTTCCATATGGCCAGTTTTTCAATTTTTCATTTAGTTCAATATTATTTGTACCTACTTTCAGAAATAAACAATAATTTGTTTATTTTTTGAAGGCTCAGAACGCCCAAAATCGTTCATTTTGTGGTTCGAAATGAACGTTTTTGGGCGTGGCACCCAAAAAATTTTCTTAACTCCGGCGGCGCTTGCGGCGGGCCTCTTCCTCCCCCTATGGGCCTGGGGCTGTAGCCCCCCCAGATCTGATGCCCTAACTTCGCCTATGGGAAAGCATAGTAGGACTGAGGCCCGGACTGAAGTAACGCCTAATGAGTTGAATAAATTTTACTGCTCCATTGCTCGGAAGCTTGCAAGTGGTATTGTTCCTCGGTGCAATCCATTGGACTTTCTACAAAATGTTAGTGTTGTTCTGTCTTTTTTTCTTGCACCTACGGACTTGAGGGAAATTGAGCAGACCTTTAAGGATATTCAGAGTAAGAATGCAGCAGGATATGATGGTATCTCCATCAAACTCCTGCAGGGGTTGCCAAGGTCTGCACTTGATGCTTTGGTTGATGCCATAAACCATTCTTTTTTCTCGGTTTTTTCCCAAGTTCATTGAAGGAAGCGGCAGTGATAGCAATTTATAAGGGTGGGGATACTTCTGAGCCCTCCAATTTCAGACCCATCTCATTGTTACCCACAATTGGTAAGGTTATCGAAAGGCTAGTTAAAAACAGAGTTGTGTCTTTTCTGCATAAGAATAAACTGTTGAGTTTGGCTCAGTTTGGGTTTCAGAGTGGTGTGGCACTGGTGATGCAGTTTTTGCATTTCTTGAGGATCTGTACTTTCAGCTTAACGCGAAAGAGGCGGCTGCGGCAGTCTTTTGTGATCTATCCTTTGACTGTGTGGATCATGAAATACTGTTGCAGAAGCTTGGACGGTATATGGTTTCAGGGGTACTCCGTTGAGTTGGTTTGGGTCTTATCTTTCGGGCAGGAACCAGCATGTTAGGCTACATCATCGGTGCCAATTCGGACAGGACAAGTGCGGACAGTGCGGTATAGAAGCGGGAGTGCCTCAAGGTTCGGTATTGGGACCCATTTTGTTTCTGATTTATATCAATGATTGACAATGATATGACCTCCCTTAACATCAGAGGTAAATTTACAGTTTTCGCTGATGATACCACAATATTGTGGCACAGCAAAAGTTCGGAGGAATTGGCCAAAGTGGTGGCAGATGATATCAATAGGGTGAAGGACTGGTGTGATGCAAACCGCCTTACTTTCAATGTCTCGAAAACTAATATTTTAAACTTTAGTTGTCATATAGGTGACATAAACCTCGGCAGTAGCCTAATCTCTAACAACTTGATTGCAAAATTTTTGAGTATAAATATAAATAGTAGGTTGTCTTTCAGGAACCACATAATGAACCTGTGTAACAAATTGGCCTGCTCGGGGTGCTTTGCGCTAAGGGTTGTATCAAGGGAACTAAATTTAGGTATGTTACGTTTAAATAAAACGCGTTGCTTAAATCACTGTACTTCACTGAATTATAAATACGAAATATTATAGTCCGGGAGGCAGTGAAATTTTTTAGCACTTATTTTCCCAGTTGGTGTATATTAAATAGTTTGTTCTCTTGGTTATACAAAACAAGAATATTTGAGTTTCGCAAAAATTTTCGGATGGGTTCACTAGATGAACGAAAAATACGAGTACACTTATTTTCCCAGTCATAAATATTTCACATCCACTACAATAGAACATAAAGTATATGAACATAGCAATTTGGCTTATCTCAAATAGTGGAAAGTTAGTCTGGCTGAAGTTTTTCGAGTCTTCAATTTTTCACTTGCCAGACATATTATCTATACTCACAGATTAGCCGGACTATTTTTTTACGTAACTTCAGTATACTTCTGATCAGTTGACTTATTTTTATCACTGGAAAAAAAAGGGCCGTGCATTCGTAAGCTCTAACGCATTTTGCGACTCAACCCATCGGAAAACCCCCCCTAAAAATATATGAATTTTGCTTAGAATTACTAACCCTACAATTTTATCCATGTTTCGTGACTGGGAAAATAAGTACCGAAAATCGTCACTGCCTCCTAGACTATTACGATACACGGCGATTACACGACAAATTGCAATTTGAACATTTAGGGTAAAGATGGACGAAACAATTTAATACATGTATATCACGCGACAGTCACGAACTAAGCGAGGGGCTTTTGGTTCTTGTCCTACCGTCAGAAGTTCTATCTAAGTTGCGCCTGCCCAGAAGGGTAGAAATTAGTTGTTTAGGTCAGGACCGTAACAAGGTATGACAAAATCGGTTTACTTCGCATACTTATTGAGTCCCATTTAAGATATGGAATCTGCTTATTCGAGCCATTTCCTGATAAATTCTGTTTTTGTTCTGCAGAAAAGGACTGTCAGGTATATGTGCGGGGTTGGGGCTAGGGAATCTTGTAAACCCTTGTTTATTCCAAATAACATTCTGACCCTGACAGGTATACCTATTTATTTTGGAAACTGTCTGTTTAATGTTTAGGAAGTTTGGAGGAGACACGAGTGCGTCTCATTATAATACGCGTCAAATAGGCACTATACCTTTACCTATACCTCATACTGCACTTGTGAGGAATTCTTTGTTTTACACTGGTAAAAAAATGTATAACCATTTGCCTATTAGCATAAGATCCCCAGAATCCCTAAAAAGATTTTTTTCTCCGAATGTCAGTAAAAGCGGCCTTTTAATGACACTTGACAGGATCAAAAGTTGCATTTTTACTGCCTAGGCAGTAAAAGTGGACTTTTACTGCCTAGGCATTAAAAGTGACAGTGTCACAACGTTCCAGGTAAGAATTTCACTCAATTTGCTATTTGAAATTGATGGTGACAATGACAATTGTCAAAATAATTTAATTATTTGAATAATAATAATGAATGAAATAAATATAAAAAAGATGTCTATGTGTGAATTTGAACATTTGGAGAAAAAATTATATGTTTTACATGGCAGAAAAGCAGATTTAATGCCTTGGCTGGTTTCCTAGCCTCGGCTATGAAACACCAGCCGCGGCATTAAATCTTGTACTTTTCTGCCTAGTAAAACAAATAACTATATATGCAACCATATATGTAATCTTGATATTACTCACTTTTTAAAAATTTGGAAGTGTCACTTTACCTGTGTCACTTCCCTCTTCGACTTCCCTCATCGATTTCCCTAAAGAAAGCCTACTATATTGTGACAGAATATTTTGAGGACCAATTTTAGACCGTCTACTGGTTTACTTATCTTGTACCTATTTTATTATTGTTTTTCAGTCTTTGTTTATTTTTGAATTTTGGTACATTTTTCGTCTTAAATTGTATTTATTGTTCTTGTCATTTTATTACATGATATTTTATGGTTGTACATGTGTAAGTAGTTGTTTGTCTGTACTGTACTTCTTACCTATCTTGTTTATTTCAATATGTTTTCTTCAATTTAAGAATTTTTAATTTAAAATCGTGTATTTACGTATTTACTTTTTTGCTAGTTTTAAGTTGCTTTGGTAATGAGATTGATTTTTTTCTTATATCAGTAAAGCTATTTTGATTTGATTTGATTATTGTCAATGGAGAAATAGACTCAACTAGGAACAATGTGGCTATTTCGGTAGTATTTTAGCTAAATGTTATGGCTTTCCTAGGTAAACCCCCATAAAAATTACTAGTTAGGTCTGTCTGCAGATTAAATCTGATGTGTTAAGGAGAAATTGAAGTTAAATGAGCTACAATAATCAATAATAAACAGTCACAGGTAACTCAAGGGGAGGAGGTACCTACCTATTCTTCTCCTACCTTCCAACCAATTTGAAAGTTTGATAAAGTTAATGAGCTTTTATGGTTTCACATGAAATTTCAACTAATCCAAAATAACCTGGCCCCGAAGCAATTTTTTTTCATATTGATACCTTATAATAATGAAAAAATAATCTCTGGAACCTAGCTGCCGCCAATTTGAAAGTCATAAATCAAACAAATAGACATGTTCAACTACATTGCAAGTACTTGAGCATGTACCTATATTGAGCACCTGAATGATAAAGTACTCTTGAACAAACAAAGCGACAGCTTTCCAGAGAAAATTGTTGATGAAACATTTGATAAAATACTCAAAATCCTTACCCTTCAGCACAATGTGCAGCTGTTAAAACGTAATTTGCTGAAACCAAAGAACCTCCACAAAATATTTCGGTCATTTTATATTTGATATAAAGTGCCACTTGGTAAGGAAACTGATTAGGTGATGCTTGTTGTCCTCCTACAATTCTGACTAGAGAATTGGTATTTGTAGTTTCGGATGGATATGTGAAACTTGACTAGAAATATTGAAGAATGTAACATTTTCTAAAAAGGAGAAATCTAATTAATTATTTACCTTTCCTTCAGCAGAAGCTAGTGCAAAAATTGTAGCTATAATAACCAATAAACACCTCATTATAAGTTAGTTCGATACAAATTAATATGAAAGCCGAAAAATAAGTGCAAATCATAAGCATCAGCTTTATAGGTACCTATCGTTAATTTCCTCATTTTATCATTTTTCCTAATCAGCCACTTAATTGAATTATTTTTCTTATAATAATCATTTTTAATCTGTCTGCTATTCAATTCAAATCGAAAATTATGATTTATTATTACCCAATCTACAGAGAAAGCTATATAGATATGGATTAGAAAAAAAATGCCTTGAATCTGTAACTGTAGCTGCTATACTGGAAATTGTTTGAGCTTTAAAGTATGGTGAAATGGTTAATAACCAACTTCAATTTGAATTCGGCAGTACCTAGGTCTAAATTAATTAAATTTATTAAGATATTTTGATTGGGATATTTTTTTTTTGAGTTTAAAATTTCAAATGCCTTTAGTCTTTTGAATAGTTTTGTAAGTACACTACAAGTTCTACTAAAAAGCGCTGGGTGTCTGCTAGACAAACAGCGCGTGGAGTAGGACACTCGACTCGGCCTCAGCCCGCAATCTGGGTCTCGCGGCCCTGTTTCGGGATGGGACCGAGTCGACTGCCCTAAGTGGAAACCTGCCTGGTACCTATATCTCGCGCTCTAAAATCGGTGGTTGATGAGGAATTATCTTAGGGCGTGAGGGCCTGCCTTAACTGGCCGGCCAAGTGGAAGGCGAACCACAATAAAAATCCATCCAAGTCACGGTGGAACAGCATAGGCCAAGGACTGCGTGGTTAGGGGAAAGCGTAATCGATACTATGCGAACTCCAGGGATGCGGCGACTCCACGGCTTAACTAGCCCGACCGGGGCGCATGGAGGTAAGTAACACACTCAATCAACGGTAACACCCATTTGGCTCACGTTCGCAAATTTGAAACGACCAATATCGCAACGGAGAGTTTCTTTATCGGGTGTCACTTTCCCTGGACAGATTTGTATTCACATAATGTTTAAAAGTAATGCCTTTATTAGATAGTATAGATATAATATTATTAGTTTTTTATGTTTCAAACTTTCTGTATTTTATTAATTCGCTTGTTAATTCTTGTTTACAGGCCCTACTTTTTGTATTTCCTTTTGGTATCATGTACATATGTAGGCCTAAGTTAGAGAAAGAAGATTAAAAAAATTCAGTACGATGTAATGGTATTTCGAAAGTAGGTATCTATGTTCCTTGTTGACGTGGCATGAATGTCACCAAGCCTCACCAATAGTTCGCAGAGATATTCTGGGCAATTGTTCTAAATAATATTTTGTATCAAAACCACAGATCACCTAATACAGATGCGTAAGTACGTATACTTGCTGTCGACGATATTCTGTGACGAAGCCGGGCCGCCAGCGGCCCCACGCATAGATAAAGATCGCCCGCGTCAGGACAATTAACGTGGCCGAGTGCGTGAGCATGTTCCAGCCTGTGTGTTTAAATATTTTTGCGGGTAGAAAAAAATATTTTTTTGCTGTTTGTGAACCAATTAAAGAAATAATATTATATTATTGAGCTTCCGCATTTATATAATAAATATGTTCAAAATACATTGATGTGGCATTGGTGCGGCCAGCCTATAATGTCTATCAAATTATTCTTGAACCACGAATTCGCCGCTCTTTCGCATCTGTTTGTAAGTTATCTGTGTCAAAACAGCAAAATGTAAAATCTTCTTTCTTTCATCTTGAGCATTTCACTGTTAGTAATGTAAGGAGTAACATGTTCTTGTCTATTTATGTTCAATATACAGGGTGTCGCAGAATATTTGGACAATCTCTCGGATTCAGATAGAATATAAAAAAATAAGATGACAACTTCCTATAAAAAAAAATTCATACGGCACCCCCTACGAAGTTACGCGCCCCTAAAAGACGCCTCTGACAATAGGTTTTTTGTTGATAACTTTCAAAATACTTCGTGTAGAAAGAAAAAAAATTACACGAAGTATTTTGAAAGTTATCAACAAAAAACCTATTTTTACAGGCGTCCTTTAGGGGCACGTAACTTCGTAGAGGGGGCCGTAGGTTTTTTTTTTTTATAGGAAGTTATCATGTTATTTTTTTGTGCTCTATCTGGATCCGAGAGATCGCCCACATATTCTGGAACACCCTGTTATCGTACACAATTGTTCTGAATCTTTTGTAGTCTATATTTGTTATGTTCTGTTATAAAGGGTCCATAAACACAATCTGCATAATAGCAGTGTACCAAGATTAGCGACTCTATTAAAATGATTTTGGTATTAGTAGAAATAAGATGTTTAAATTCATACAACAAAAAAAACAAAATTGACGTTTCTGAGCGATTTTTCAAAAATTCTACCATTTTCAAAATAATGAATTTATGCGTGACTTTATGAACTCACTATATAGGGTGGGCTTAAAAAACCAGAATTTTGTTTTTGAGCTGTAACTTTTTTTGTTGTTGAGCAATATCCTTTTGTTTTGGCTTGTTTGAAAGAAAATTGAACAGGCGAACGAATCAAAGTAAAACTTTTGACATTTGAGAAAATTTCAAAATGGCGGACCTCTTCATAAATTACCTAATTTTGGAAAGCGCTGGAACTTTTTTGTGACCCCCTGTATAACTTTTTCTGATAAATTCCAAAAGCTCATCATCTTGCGAACATTTTAAGACCTCGACAGGAAAAATCGCTTGAAAACTACGTGGAATATTATTTTTTTTGGAATATCGTATATCACCTTTTCATATCGAAAACTAGGTAACTAGGAAGAAGTCCGCCATTTTGCTTTTTTCTCAAATTTTGAAAGTTTCACTTTGATACGTTAGCCTGTTCAATTCTTTTCCAAACCGGCCGAAACAATAGGAAATTGGTCATCAACAAAATAAATTACAGTTCAAAAACAAAGTTCCGGTTTTTTTGAGCCCACCCTATATATTATCAAATTCCTTGTTATTTTGCAAAAAAAAAAAACAAATAAAAATAGGTAATATACAGTGTTATTTAAAAATGTGAAACGTGGCCTTTTTTATGGATTTTTTGATGTTTTACGACTATACAAATAGTGAAAAAGATGTTCCCCTAAATTAAAATTAGTGTCTGAGGTTTTTCGAGAAATATTCACTCTTTAATTTTTTTTATCTTCTAAATTACGAACGCACAGTATAATTTATATTAATATAACAATATAAATTATATTTTACACTTATATACTCATGTTTTAATATTTCAATGCCCTAAAATAATTATTTACAAGATGGTAATAGTAAATAGGCTTAATAACGAGGCTAAGTAACACCCAATAAAGCGCACATCCATGCAACCACGGGTGTTACATTTAAAAAACCGAACCGTTGTCTAGCGGATTGCCGAATGCTAAACAGGGTGTTACTTACCTCCATGCGACCGGGGCTCTGCCTCGGCCGTATGGTTTACTTCCCTAACTCGTGGGACCTAACATGGACACACAACAAAAAACAATCAAGGCGATGAAGGATGATAGCGCCTCAAGCACATCCGAAAACATGGAATTAGGGGACTGTAAAAGCCCCACTGTCGTAGAAGAAGAACTTCTACGTTCAGACGAAGAACTCGGCATAGATCTGAGTGCCCTACAACTGACGGGCGACGTGAGGATCAGGCTGAGTGGCGCTGCCAGAAAGAGGATGAAATTCCTCGAAAAAAAAGGGATGAGTGCAGACGAAGCCCGCAAAAAAGCCCTTGAGCCAATCAAGAAAGGGCTAAAACCTCTGGACAAGGGCGAAAAAAGAGCCCGGTCAGAAGGAAACACCCCCGAGGCTCAAGCGAAAAAAAGAGCTAGGATAAGGGATACGGACAGAAATGCCCCGCCCATAAAAAAGAAGGAAACGAGCAGCAGTGCTCCGCCTTCCAGAGCTCCAAAACCAACCTTCAGCCAGATAGCTGGAGGCATAAAGGTAGGAATACTACCTACAGACTTCCCCAATTGCCTTTTGTCAGTGGAGCAAATTCAAGCCACCAGAGGCAATTATGGATAAGATCGTGGACGAGGTAGCATCGGATTGCCCGGTCAAACCGAAGTTTCTAAGCGACCACAACAGACCCGGCTGGCTCGCTCTAGTTTGCGAAAACATAGCCACCAAGCAGTGGCTGCAAATTGCAGACGCCTCCATCAAGCCTTGGGAGGGAGCTTCGCTGAAGATGGTAGAGGAATCTGACATTACTCACTCTGACGTCCTGGTTGCTCGATTCCCAAGCAGCATGGATTACTCCACGGAGATAATCCTCAATCTTGTTCAAGGCCAAAATGAGGGCATAAATGTCAAAAATTGGCGAGTCATCCGACGTAACGCCGAGGGCCACCTGGTCACACTAACCTTTTCTGTGGACAGTGCATCCGCAGAAAAACTCAAATCCGGAGGCTACGCGGTAAGTTACAAGTTCGGTCATACGACTATAAGACCGCAAAGCAGCCGGAGCACAACAGCTGTGGAGCAACCAAGCTCCCCAAAGAAAAGCGGTGCCGAACCAAGGGCAGAAACGTCTAAAGACTCAATGAGTCATAAAGACGGAAGTGCCCAGGTGGAGTCCGAAAAGTGAGTGCAACTCTAATGGCTTGCTCCAAGCAACCAAAGAGAAGCAACTCACCAAGCATCAAATGCATTCAAATAAATCTTCAACACTCAAAAGCTGCCACTAGTGAGCTTAGAAGAAGAATGTTTGGACAAAAAATCAACGTAGGGCTACTTCAAGAGCCCTGGGTCAATGGAGGCTCTATAAAAGGCCTAAATATCAAATCATGTAAGTTAATCTACAACATTAACCACGGAAGACCAAGAGCAGCATTGCTGCTTGACAAAAATTTAAAATTCTTACCTGTTCCAGAGTTCATCACACAAGACTTGGCAGCTGCTTTAGTAGAAGTGCCAACGGAAGGGACTCAAGGCATATTCTCATAGCCTCAGCCTACTTTGCAGGTGATGATAACTCAGCACCGCCAGAGATCGTCCAACGACTCATCACGTGGTGCAGAGTGAGAAACAGACACTACATTATCGGGGCGGACGCCAACGCCCATCACCAGGTAGGATGGGGAAGCACCGATACAAACGTAAGGAGTGAGTACCTTTTTGAATATTTGAACTGATCAGAAGAACATAGACATTATCAACAAAGGTAACAAACC